TCCTTCCTTTCCTCTTCTCTCTAGGAATCCAGCTCAGTTCCCTGCGACCCTTGCAAAGCGGAGCGCCCCGATCTCAGCCCCCCATCTCGAAATGATGAATGGGGAGAGCCCCGCCCTTTGCACCCGCCCAGAGAGGTTTATGGAGTGTGCGCAATGCGCTGCTAGAGTCTTGCTTTGCAGAGAGACGAGAAAGAGGAGTGAGCTCGGGGTGCTCGGCTTGCCAAGGGTTAAAAGCAACGGGGCTGGATTCCTAGAGAGGAGAGGAGATGAAAGAGGGGAGAAGTCCTCCAGTGCAAAAGCCCCTCCCTCCCCAGTGCCTCCCTGCGAGGGAAGGCGGGGCATATTTTGACAGCCCCTTCTGCCTGGGTGGCGCCTCCTGGGACCTGGTGAGTCTCCTCTCTCTCCCCACTTAGGGTGCACTGGGGAGAAGGGGGTCCCAGGGGAGGGTGCATGGGACGGGGGCTGTTCAGCTTATGCATGGGGGACCCCCCCAGTGGGGCTGCAATGGGGAGAAGGCGAAGGGCAAACTCTCTGTCTTTTTTTGTGAAGGAAATGCCCACTTACAGGGCACTGCAATAATCCCATCTGAGCCTGGCATCTCTGTCCTACTGTGGCTGATCAGCTGGCCGGATCTGGAACTGGTCACTCCTAGTCACTGAGGCCACCTGAGCCTCAAGTGACCATGGTGGACCCCAGAGGAACCCCAAGCATATCTGGCTGTGTGGGGGTTAAGTCATGTAACATCGTCATCATTAATTACCTGCCCTTCACCCTAGATTCCCAGGGCAGAAAACCACATTAAAACACAGTACCAAAAGCAGGTTAAAACAACTTGCAGAAAGGAGGTGAGTCCTACTTTACTCACTTTTCAGGGCTAATCTTTGACATCACCCACTTGGCCCTCGGGGGGTTGGATCTGGCCCTAAGAACAAAGAAAAGGGCACCCCACCCCTGTAGTTTGTCTTGAATACATTGGAGATTCCCAGTGCTAGAAAATGAAGCAGGAAAGAAATGTGGACTGAAGTGGGGGAGGGAGAGAGAGCAGCCCTAGAGGACCCCAGGGTTAGGACCCCCACTCTGGCCTGGTGTGCAAATTATACTCAGTCATGGGCCTGACTTGATTTGTTGACTGAAAACACACACAAAAAACCCACATAAACGTAATAGGCTGTGTAATAACAATTGTAAAGTTATTTACTAGAAACTCAAAATTAGATACAGCTTCTCATAACATCAAAGACAACATCGTGATATTAAAATGTAGCTTACTCAGTTAACCACCAAGCCCAGTATGTACAAAATGCAATTCCTGGATATTCCCCTTTTTCACCTATTATGTTTACGTGTTTTTTCAAGTGGATTTGGGTAATATAGGCATTCTAGTGGTTTGGATTTTGGATTTTGCCATGGCTGATTATACTAAAAAATTTGGTTTCTGCTCCTTCTTCCTTTCCAAAAAAAAAAGGGGGGGAGCATAGTGTCTGGGCTGTGGTGGAATTTTTACCCAGGTTCCAAGCAAGACTCATCTGCACTTGCTCAGGGAACCTCTTTCTTTGCTTTGTAGAATTTGGTATCACTTCTGATTTGGACAGACAGAACTTGGCAGAAGACCAAAGGATTCCTTCTGATCTCTTGGAGGCTTCTTGAGAGCCCAGATGGATGAGCAAGACTCAGCTGGCCCTGAAGCAGGAAGGGGCCATGTCATCAACACTGGGAGCAGTGAGGGATTCTGGGAAAGCTCTGTGCAGAAGATCCTGGGTGAGGAGGACACCCTCCGCTCAGATGTGCAGAGCCAGCAGTTCAGGCAGTTGTGCCACCAGGAGACCGAAGGACCCCGAGAGGTTTGCAGCCGACTCCACCACCTTTGCCATCAGTGGCTGAAGCCAGAAAGGCACACAAAAGCTGAGATGCTGGACCTGGTGATCTTGGAGCAGTTCCTGGCTGTCCTTCCAGCAGAGATGGAGAGCTGGGTGTGGGAATGTGGAGCGGAGACCAGTTCCCAGGCGGTGGCCCTGGCCGAAGGATTCCTCCTGAGTCAGGCAGAGGGGAGGAAGCAGGCAGAGCAGCAGGTGAGAGAGACTTGCCTCTGGATATTCCCAGGGGTCACTTAACAGGGGGGAGAGTATCCAAAATTTCTCTCTCTATATTTTTTTTTAAGCTTCCAAGGAATTATCTCTGATGCCCCAAAAGGTTTTGCCTCTGCCATTCCACTTCTAGGCATTCTTCCCATTTCCTGTTTTAATCTTTGTTGCTATTTCAGGGAAACTATCCATTTGCAGAAATGAGTGCCAATCACTTTGAGGCGGAGAGGATTCCATTGATGACTGAAGAGAGGCCACTGAGTAAGAAGAAATTAGTTTTTCCATCTCTTTGATAACATTGTGTGTATTTTGTAACTAATGTGTGTTTTTTCTCCATCTTTTTGGAGAGACACTTGGGGCCAAGAGCCCAAAGGAGGGGGGTGTATTTTTACATAGCTAAAATATGAAATGTGTCCAAATGTCCAAATGCATGCACCATCTGCAGTTAGAGCTGCATAGCTTCACCTCTGACAGAAGCATGCACTCATGGCTTCTTGTTTACCTTTGTCTCTTGCAGGTGTCAGAACGGTGGTGGAAAGACCTCCTCATCCATCTTTTAATGGTGGTGGAAGGGAAGCAGCAGCTATGGAACCAGATCAGGTAGCAGGAAGGAGCATTGTGGGGAAAGAGGCTGAGGGGTGGGGCAGCCAGGATGCCTCTGGGGCTGAGTGAATCTCCCTGAGAGTAAATGAACAGCCACCTCGCACTTAACTAGGCCTTCTGAATGTTGCTAGCATTATTTATCAGTAAAGGTAAAGGGACCCCTGACCATTAGGTCCAGTCGTGGCCGACTCTGGGGGTGTGGCGCTTCATCTTGCTTTACTGCCGAGGGAGCCGGCGTACAGCTTTTGGGTCATTGTGGCCAGCATGACTAAGCCGCTGGCAAACCAGAGAAGCGCACAGAAACGCCGTTGACCTTCCCGCCAGACCGGTACCTATTTTATCTACTTGCACTTGATGTGCTTCGAACTTCTAGGTTGGCAGGAGGCAGGGATCGAGCAACGGGAGCTCACCCCACATCGCGAGGGATTCGAACCGCTGAACTTCTGAATCGGCAAGTCCTAGGCTCTGTTGGTTTTAAACCCACAGCGCCACCTGCGTCCCTATTTATCAAGTAGTTGCAGTTTAATTTCCTATATTGATTGTTAAAATACTAAATTAGGCTTGTAAGCAGTTGACAAAGTACCCAAACATTGACCAGTATTCACCTAAACAGCCCCAGCCAGGTGCACAATGGGGTTTCCTTCCGATGCCCCCTTGAGGTTGGCAATAGAGCAGCAGGAGGGTCCCCTGAACGCTGAACAGTGCACAGGGAGAGGAGAGGGGGAGAGTCCTTTCCATCTGGCAAAATGAACACATACAGAGACAGCATCGAGTTGAAGAACACAATGCAGAGTTCCACCCATTTACATCAAAAGTACTACCCATTGTTAAAATAGGTAAAGTACCCCTGTCAGTTAACGTCCAGTAGCGAACAACTCTGGGTTGCGACGCTCATCTCGCTTTATTGGCCAAAGGGAGCCGATGTACAGCTTCCGGGTCCATGTGGCCAGCAAGACTAAGCCGCTTCTGGCGAACCAGAGCAGTGCACAGAACACCGGTTTACCTTTCCCGCCAGAGCGGTAACCTATTGATCTGCTTTGCACTTTGATGTGCTTTCGAACTGCTAGGTTGGCAGGAGCAGGGACCGGGCAACAGGAGCCTCACCCCCGTCACGGGGATTCAAACCGCTGACCTTCCGATCGGCAAGTCCTAGGTTCTGTGGCTTAACCCCACAGCGCCACACCACGTCCCTAAATCTAATCGTTAAAATACCTCATCATTAAAGTGACACAATAAAAATAATTCGCATTAAGTGGTTAGAGAACGAAGCCAAACAACCCCCTTAAAAACAACCACAGCCCGTGCTGTCTAAAAGAAGAGGACGTTTCTCTTTTATTTTTAGGGTCCAGCTCGCTTTTGAAGATGTCACTGCTCCATTTCACAGACGAGGAGTGGGCCCTTGGCGGATTCCTGACCAGAGAGCTCTGCATAAAGACGTCCCATGGAGCGAGCAATCGTGGAGGATCTGTAGGCCTCTCTTAGCTAAGGCGCCTGTCAGTATCATAATATCTGTTTTGAAATTCAATGTCTATAACTCTATGTGGTGAGCCTACAATATTCTGATGGAGCTCAAGAGCGCAACCCCAGCCAGTGAGCGACTTTGGAAACTCCCCCCCCCTCCAGTTTTGCTTTTTTAAACATTATAGAAGATAGTAAGATTAAAATGACTGGGCCTGGGGCTGGTTAGGAAAGTGGTGGTAGTTTCTGTCAGGTTTTTATTATTGTATATTATTATATTATTATTATTATTATCTTCTGTCCAACTTCAGTTGACTAAAGAGATGACTGACATTGGAAATTGGTGTAGAATCCATGACTGGACCAAGCAAAGTCCACTCCGGAAAAGAGCCAGGCTTTTCAAACCTCAGGTTCCCATAAATATGTTAGCTAATGCCTTTCAACAAATGTGGTGATCCCTGTAGTGAGACTTCCTAATTCCCTTCAGTTCTTCCTGTATGTATCACAAGTGTTAATTAGCATTGTTCGATAATTTGAGCTCCATTTCTTCCTGTAATCTGGCTGCAATCCATTTCTCTATTCGTTCCAGGTGGTGAATTGGAAATTAAGAACTGGATAGACCAAAACCTAAGGCTCTATTCTGTTTCTATTTTTGTTGCAGGTAGTGATGAAATGGAAATTAAGAACAAGAGGGACCATGATAAAAACCACACAGTGCAGAGGCCATATAAAGATTTGGAGCATGGAGAGAGCTTCAGTCAGCACTTTATTTCCATTTCCCATCAAATAAATCCCTTTGGGAGGAAACCCTATCAGTGCTTGGAATGTAGAAAGAACTTTAGTCGGAAGGATAGTCTGACTTCCCATCAAGAATTCATAGAGGGGAGAAACCATATCAGTGCATGGAATGTGGAAAGAGCTTCACTCAGAGTGCCCATCTCACTTCCCACGAAAGAATTCATACAGGGGAGAAACCACATCAGTGCTCAGAATGTGGAAAGAGCTTTAGTGTGAAGTCAAATCTCACAGCCCATCAAAAATTCATATCAGGGAGAAACCGTATCAGTGCATAGAATGTGGAAAGAGCTTCACTCAGAGTGCCCATCTCACATCCCATCAAAGAATTCATACAGGGGAGAAACCATATCAGTGCTCAGAATGTGGGAAGACCTTCAGTAAAAGGGCTCATCTCACTTCCCATCAAATAATTCATATAGAGGGGAAACCCTATAAGTGTTTGGAATGTGGAAAGAGCTTCAGTCAGAGTGCCCATCTCACTTCCCATCAGAGAATTCATACAGAAGGGAAACCACATCAGTGCTTAGAATGGGGACGAAACTTCACATTGATGTCCAATCGCACAGCCCCTCAAAAAATTCATACAAAGGAGGAACTATTTTATTGCTTGGAATGTGGAAAGAGCTTCCGTCAAAGTGCCCATCTCACTTCCCATCAAAGAATTCATACAGGGGAGAAACCGTATCCCTGTTCCAAATGTGGAAAGAGCTTTAGTGACAGGGCAAATCTCACTTCGCATCAAAGAATTCACACGGGGGAGAAGCCATATCAGTGCTTGCAGTGCGGAAAGAGCTTCAGTCAGAGCAACAATCTCGCCTCACATCAAAGGATCCATACAGGGGAGAAACCGTATCAGTGCTTGGAATGTGGAAAAACCTTCAGTCACAGCCACCATCTCCTTTCCCATCAAAGAATCCATACAGGGGAGAAACCATATCCTTGCTTGGAATGTGGAAGGCGCTTTAGTGACAGGGCCAATCTCACTTCGCATCAAAGAATTCATACAGGGGAGAAACTATATCAGTGCTTGGAATGCGGAGACAGCTTCAGTCGTAAGAGAAGTCTCACTTCACATGAGAGGACTCATAGTAGGGAGGAACCATTTTAAATCCTTAGAACATGGAAACAGCTTCAATTCCAAGATGATCTCACTTTCCATCAAAAAATTAGTACAGGGCAGAAACCATATCACTAGTTGGAATGTAGAGAAAGCTTCAGTCTGAGCCCCCATCTCACTTCCAATCTAAGAATTCATCCATGGGAGAAGCCACAACAGTGCTGAGAATGTGGAAAGAAGTTCAATGAGAGGGCCAATCTCACAGTCCAACACAATCAAACCTAAACAAATTCTTGTGCACATGTGAGAAAAATGAATATTCTCTGTTAGCAGAGTTAAATAATTTTTCATATTATATAGATTTTGCTTTAGCTGTTTCATGTGTTTATGGGATTACGTATCAGTGTATCTATGAGTGATTTGATTCTTACATTCCTACATTTTGCAAATCTCTCATGCCACACGTCTACACTGCATTCCATGCTGATCTGACCCTGGATTGTGGGAGGTGTATTTGCATTACTAGAAAGGCACAAATGCCCAGCCAAGGAGGGAGGTATTTGCATTAGAACTGGAGTGCTAAGCAAGTGTTCCAGGGACATGGAAGGACGATTTGCCCCTTACTGAAGGCAAACTGGAGGCCAAGTGCAAAAGCTGAAACCTAAGGGTTGGGGTTCCCCAAGATAAATGAGGGGAGCTGAAAACAGAGTCCAGCCAGAACTTTTACACTCCTTTACCTGTGACATCTTTTGATGTATGCAGTGTTGTTTTGTGATGTATAGCAGATATTTGTATAAAACCCTATAAAACCTTTGTTCACATGTTCCTTTGCGGACAGTCTTTTCTAGCTGGCAAAACTGCCCTATTGTCCCAATAGTTTTAATAAACCAAGTCCCAACAGGACATTTTGTTTGCTCTCTTGGTTTCGCTGTTATTTAAAGGTTTGCTTCCTCACCTGGGCAAGGGCCAGTGGCATAGAGGTAAAGTAATACCACAGTAGGATAAATCAAGAGCCAAGGATCTATTAAACTCAATTCATGTTTCCCTATTGTCCAACCTCACTAATTCTTTTTCTTTGTTGGTGTATTTCTATCTAGGTTAGGATAGGATAATATTTAATTAAAAGTCCCCTGCTATTATTAACTCATCATAATTACAATCATTCAGGTGTCCAAAATAATTGGAAAACATTTATGGAGAGACCATATTGGGACCATAAACATTACTGCAATGAGCTCTGAATCAGGCTACCTTTTAAGGTGACTCAGAAACTACAACTAATCCAGAATGTGGCTGCCAGACTGGTGGCTGGGAGCGGCTGCCGGGACCATATAACACCGGTCCTGAAATACCTACACTGGCTCCCAGTAAGTTTCCAAGCACAATTCCAAGTGTTGGTGCTGATCTTTAAAGCCCTAAATGGCTTTGGCTCTGTATATGTCAAGGTGTATAGCCTTTTCAAAAAGAACAAAGTGTCATTCTAAGTTTGGAGCTGATTTATTTGGTGGAGCACTGAATCGCCATTATATAGTTCCTTTACAGGCCAACCAGAAGATTCACAAAAAGAGATTGAAATCCGGGTATCTCATCGTCGGGAGTTCCATTGGGACTGCACCAGCACAAGTCTACAGAGTCATTCTCATGGACTTCTTTCAGGAATATTTGAACTGTTTGGCTTTGAGATATTGTTGTTATGTGGTTATTATTTTGGCATGATAGATATTATTTAAGATTCTATGTATTAGAATGTGTTGAAATGTTGTGTATTATTATTTTTTAAATGCCATATACAGAGTTGTGTTGTTTGTGATTTCTCTCTCTGCATTCCTTGGGTGTGGTATTGAGCTTATTTCCGTGCCAGCAAAACCTTTATTTAATCGTACTTATGTGGGGCCATTGCTAAAAAGAGGCTAGTCAGGCCAAGGGGGTAGCAAGACTATTATATGGGTGCTGTGCTGATCACCTAACGAGCCAGGCTACCCAGATGCATCCAGACCTTTTGGGGGGGGTGCCATTTCCCGACCCCCAGGTTGCCTTCGCTCTCAGGCCCTTCTGCTGCCATATGAGAAACTGAGAACCTCCAAGAAACACCTTCGCTTGGAGGTTTTTAAGCAGAGGCTGGATGGCCATTTGCCACCGATTCTTTGCTTGATTCCTGCACTGCATGGGGCTGGACTAGATGTCACTTAAGGTCCCTTCCAACACTGTGGTCGTATGGCTGCAGAAGGTGGTGAACTCTCCTTCATTGGAGATTTTGAGAGAGGTTGGGTGGCTACCTGTCAGGGGTTCTGGGCTAGATGACCCCGGGGTCCATTCCAACCCTAAAATTCCACGATTCTACTAAACAGCTAGTCCACCAGGTTAGTTGTCTCTTTTCAAAGAACTTTATTTCACATACCGCCATCACACCCACAGCTATATGGAGCAAACCCCCAGCGGCACGAAGCCTTTAAGCAGAACGTACAGCGCATCCAAGGAGCCGCCAGCCCTCTTGTGACCCAGTATCAACACAGGGATGAGCCCCACACGCATACAAAAAAAGAAGGTGCTTTGTTCCTGCACTCCAACTCTCCTTGAGTCCCCCACTCCCAAAGTCACAGTTACAGAAGAAGCGGGCAGGTCAAGTTCAGACGATCACAGGCTCCCGGACGCTGTTCTGCCTCTTCACCACAAACAGCTTCTGACCAGATATGGTCACAAGGAAGGAGTGCTCCCCAAACACCACTGGGGGGACGAAAGAGAGAGAGACCCCAGTAAGGGTATTAGGAGAGACGAGACCCCCAGCAGGGTGCTTGGGTGCATTTACGTACTTTTTCATATATTTATACACAGTCTGGTTATAATAAAACCTCAAAGCAGTATGTAATATTATCACTGAGGAAGATTAACAGCAGCAATTTTAAACTTTCAAAAAGTTAATATAAACTAAAAACTGATTTAAACTGGCATCAATTCTGTGAACGCCAGGGCGGGTTTGTTTGCATGTTTTTTAGCAGGCATCGAGAAGAGTGCAACTGAAGGCATCTGCCTAGCATCCATAGGCAGGGAGTTCCAGAGTTTAGGTGCTGCCACATTAAGTGATCAAGTTCGTACAACTGCAGTGCACGTATTATGTGGCACCTGTAGCCAGCCTAAGTGGTCAGGTTGGCACATGCGGGCTCAGGCGATCTCCCAGGTAAACCGGTCCCAAGTTGTTAAGGGCTTTACATTCTAATTGTGCCACCTTAAACTTGGCCTGGTAGGAAATGGGCAGCCAGTGCAGGTCTCTGAGTACAAGTGTTATATGCTGACGAGGCCTCACTCCTGCATCCTGCACCGACAGCAGTTTCAAGGAAGCCCCACACAGAGCACACTGCAGAACAACCTCACTTGCTCCCCACTCCTTCACTGATGGGGCAGTCACCCCATTTCCTCCTCACATCCCTCTGAGGTAGGTCAGGCTCAGTGACAGGAAGGTGCTTCTCCCAAGGAAGACCATTCAGTCCATTGAGCCCAGTGCTGTCTTCACTGACTGGCCGTGAATGCCACTATAGGGTCCTCTGCAGACATACCTGGAGTTCCATTGGGGAGCCCCAAGGGACCTTCTGCATGCAAGGCAGGTGCCATGGCTCAGAGAAGGGGTGCTGGGCCTTCCCTCCCCACCATCCTAGCTCTCCCCGCACCTGCCTGGCTCTCCTTTAAGGGTTTGGTGAAAGGAGGCAAGAACAGGACGCGTCAGGGAAGCTCTGAGTTCAGCTCTACACGGGGGAGGGAGAAGAGCAGACGCCAGAGGGGCCAAGAGGAATCCAGGCTCCCCTGAGGCTCCCCGACCTTCCCCACCAAAGGGTGGATGCCAGCCCTGCTCCCCTGTGTATCCAGGGAGGCCCCACGGAGGAAGCCCGCCTGCGAGTGCTGGGGGTGGGGGTCTGCCCCTTCTCACCAGAGATACGCCTGAAAGGGCACCCTCGGGGCAGCGGGGCAGGCGGAAAGCGCAGGCTGTGTTCACCAGCTCCGAGATCAACCCCGGCCGTCCGCTCAGTCGTTCTCCCAGGTCGCCCGAAGACTGGCAGGGCAGGGAGAAAAAGAAGAAGAGTCCTTTGTCAGCAGGACATCTCGGGGCATCCCTGCCACCCGCCTCTTTTCCCTGCAAGGGGATCCTGAGGCGGACCCATGTGCTTTTGCCGCCCGCATTTAACTCTCCCCTGACAAAAGCCCTGCGAGTCGGCTAGGCTGAGAATAATAATAATAATAATAATAATAATAATAGTAATAATTTATTATTCATACCCCGCCCATCTGGCTGGGCGGCTCCTACTCGAATATTAAAAGCAACAATAGAGGATTAAACATTACCAACTTCGGCTAAAGAGCCTGCTCCCCCCCCAATATAAAGAGCTCTGCTTCCCAGGAGAGGGGGAGCCCGGCCTCTCCCCGCTCCTAGAGGGGCGTCTCCGTGTCCCAAGGCCCCTCCTCACCGCCAGCACCGCCCCGTCGCAGATGACCAGGTAGCCGGTCTGGTCGGGGACCCGCTCCAGCCCTGAGTCAGCGCCGCCGTCGCGCCTGAAGGGAGGGAGGGAGAGAGAGAGAGTCAGGGGGGTCAGCGGGGGGGTCGCCTCCCTCCCTCACCGCGGGAGGGGGAGCCGCCCACCATCGCCGCCGCCGCCGCCGCCGCCGCCGCTCCGTCCCGTGACCGAGCCCTCCGGTGCCGCCCGAACAACTTCCCAACCTGACTTCCGCGGAAGCGGGAAGCGGGCGCTTCGGTCGGCTGCGATAAAGGACGTCTCCGCTCTAGTCCTCGGGGCTCTCTTAGCGGAGAGGGAGGGAGCGCCGCTCTAGGACTCTGGAGCCTCTCCGTGGTGGAAGCCCGCTTAAGGCCGGCGCGGGGGGGGGCTCCTCACTGCGCGAAAGCCTGGCTGCCACTCTACCGCTCGAAGCCCGCCTTTCCCCTTCCTTTGGGGGGGGGGGACCCGCCTTTTTCCTCTGACAGGAAAATAGCTGGAGCTGAAAAACGCGGGGAGTGGGGGAAGGAACAGCCCTGAAAGGCGCAGGAAACAGTAATGGGAGTAAAATGTGTAAAAGGTCTAGGGAAAGCCTCCAGCTCCTCGCAATGGTCCCTATTGTGAATTAACTTTATTTGTTTGCCCCTGAAGGTCCCTGGAAAGAGCAGCAGGATAAAGCAAGACGAATAGGAGCTCCTGATAACAGAGGCCACAATATAGCCTCACAGGCAGGTTCACTGTCATTCCTTTGTATTTGAAGATGAAGAGGGGTTCACAGCATAAAAGGCGAAATAAACACAAAAGCACAAAATACGCAATTGGGAACCAGAAGGAAACCTGCAACTCCCTGGCCCCCCACACAAGACACATTGAAACCTGGTGAGATGAGAGACCCATGGCTGGACTGTAGGGCTCTTCTTTCTCCCTTTCTACCCCATTGTTCCTGAGCATTTGGCCAGGAAGGGGGACAACGCTTTCTTGGCCCTTTGCTCCAAGTCGACAGGTATAACCACTTCAAAGGGAAGACACCGAGCAGGAAGGCAGCAGCAGAGGAGGAGCGTTCTCTGCAAAGGATGTGTAGGTACACCTGTGAAGAAATCCATTGATCTGGAGCATGGAAAGCTCATGGAGAGTATAGGACAAATGTCAGGTTCTGCACTTTAAGGCAGGAAGAAGCAGCTGCACAAATATAGGAGTGGGAACACCTGGCTTACGAGCAGCACATCTGAAAAGCATCTAGGGGTCTTGATGGAGCACAAGCTGGACACGAGTCCACTGTGCGATGCAGCAGCAAAAAAGCAAATGCTATTCTAGCTGCATCAACAAATGTCTAGTGTCCAGATCAAGGGAGGTCATGGTCCATCTCTATTCTGCCTTGGTCAGACCACACTAGAATCCTGTGTTCAGTTTCTGGGTACCACAATTTAAGAAGGATGTTGACAAGCTGGAAGGTGGGCAGAGGAGGGCAACCAAGATTGCCCAGCCTGTGAGTCTTGAAGGCCGCTCCCTGCAAGGCCTTTTCCCACCTGGCCTAGGGGGCGAGAATCAGACTCACCCCGCTCTGCTTTAGACTTCCTGGGAAGCTGGAGGGACATTGCCCGGCTATGCGTCTTGAAGAGCCCAGACTCACTGGAACAAACTCCTAGGTGTTTGGGCAAATGCTGAAAACGCTTTTAAATGTTTTAAAGGGGTTTTTGTGGCGTTTCGAAATTTGGTTTAAGCAGCTTCTGCAGGTCGAGTTTCAACGCAGTGAGTTCCTGGAGCTTCTCCAGCTTTGGGCTGATCTTTTCGGTTCTGCTGCTCCGGCACAATGATTCTTTCCAGCACCTGGGCCATTTGGCTGCTGCTTCCCTGAGGCTGCAGCTTAGTTTCTCATTTTCCTTCATGATGTTACCGGAAAAATCCGAGGGCTCCCTTGGACAAAAACAAAGACACCAACCAGGATAACTTGGAGCAAAACAGCAGCCTGTAGGCTTGGCCTTTATTGAACTGTTGCAACAGGGTGTTCCCCTCACTTGCAGGAGAGAGGAAAGACCCAGAAAGATGGTGTGCAAGACCTTATAAAAACTTTTGAAATTCCCCTCCTCTAGGTCAAGCCCACCCCCAGAAACATCATGCATACATTACAGAAAGGAGGGGTTGAGGGAGGAGTTGTGGTGGTAACCTGAGTGTCCTGTCACCTGGCTGGTTCCTCCTTTCCCCCCTCCCCATGAGTCACTTCCAGGAGACAAAGGGGAGTTTGGCAGTTTCCTGCCCCCAGAGGGAAGATCTGATCATTGTCCTTTGTTTCAGTCCATGCTGAATCCACTCCCATATGCAAGTTCTTTGTGATCTTGATTGCCTTCTGTCTGGGATCCATCAAGGGTTGGCATAGCAACGGGGCAGGGCTCCTGTGGATGTGCTGGGATGGTGAAGTGATTATGGCTGACCAGAACCAAGTCACCCCCCTTTGATAGTCCTTGTCATATGGAGTAAAAAATAAAATGGAACAGTGCAAATCCGATATGTGGTTGATTTTTTATTGAATTTATAACAGAAGGTGTAGCGTATGTAGTGTGTGAGTGTGAGTGTGTGTGAAGTTTGTACAAACTGAATGATGGGTGGGGTGGGTTTCCCTGCTACAATGTAGGGAGTGATTTTTCTCCTTCAGAAATTGCACCTTTTCTGAGGACCCACAAACCATAGACACTGGAAGGGTCCCTCCATGAGGTCTGCAGCAGTAAGACCTGCAGCTTTAGCCGGCTAATCTCTGCTGCCTGATGATCAGTGTCCACTATCGGCTTGTTCTTAATTTTCTGGCTGTTACGGAAGGGGGGGCATGTCCTTCTCACTACAAATATTTGCTCAATTTCTCTAGGACTCCATCACCCCTGCCTCAATTTCTCTAGGACTCCATCCCCCTCCCTGTCCTCCATAATCTCTCAAGTAAGGTGTCAAGACCCTAATCCTGTCAAAATCACTCTGTCAAACCTTTCCTCCTGGCAATGCCAGGTGACAGGACTACGCATACATGGACCATTGTCTTCTCAGGATGTGCTTATCTGCGCATATCTCCAGCTCTGCATATTCCCCCCTCCCTCCTCCATATCTCCAGCTCTCTGCATATTCCCCCCTCCCTCCTCCATATGTTAATCCAGTGTAACCCAACCTCTCCTTAATGTATTCATGATGTAATCTGTGTAACCCAACCTTTCCTTAATGTATTCATGATGTAACTGGGATGCATTTTGCACTGTATTCTGGACATGGAGGGAGTTTCAAAAGTTCATGTCACCCCTTTTTTGCTGTTCAATCTCGTCTTGAACCTGTTGCGCAATAAAACTTGGATCTTCTGCAGTTTGCTCCTGTCCGGCTGAGCTCATTTTCTTCCGCAGGGACCCGCGGACTTACTTAGTCTGACGAGCTGGGTGGCAGGGTAGCCCCGCACCCAGATTTAGCCGTAACAGTTGGCAGCCCAACGTGGGGCTGGCGGTTCTCCCGCGTTGCTGACCGGGGGCCCCGAAATCTTCAGCCGGCACCAGGCCATTTTGCCTGGGAAGATCCTTTGGACCCCCGGCCATCTTCCGGGCGGTAATCGAAAGCCCCAGGAGTTCAGCCAGGGAGCAAAGAGGGATCCAGCCGGCTTATTCATCGATCCCGGGATCATCATAGAAGACACGTGAGTATAAGGAAAAGGAAAATCCAGTGCACTGGTGGGAAGGGGGTGGAAATCTCCTGGCAACTGAATTCTCTGCCCTCCTCTCTATCGATCCTTCTTACCTTTCTCTTGGTCCTTGGTGAGAGAGACCGTGGACTGCTGCTCGACCCAAAGGGGGGTTCTGAGCTCTATCTCTTTCTCTAACACCCTCCAGTCAGCCGCACCAATTGAGAGTCCGAAAGTAAGACGGAGAGACCCGGCTTGGAAAGACAGCCGACTCTCCGCAACGGGCATCTCAGTTGAAAGCAAGGGGCTGGAGTTCTTCTTCCGAACTTCCCGAGCGCCCTTACGGAGGGGGCAGGAAGTGGTCTTGCTTTCTATCCCAATCCCAGCCGCACTGGTCGGTGCCACGTAACACGTGTATCGTGCGTGAGCCCGCTTCCAAAAGCAAGGGGGATTTTCAGTTCAAAATTCTATCCAGGGATCACCCGATCTGGCACCGCATGGCACGGGCGTCCAGTAGGGCCCCTTTTCCTGAGATTGTGACGATAGGTAGGAGGTTGCCAGGAGGGATAGCCCATGAGGAATTGGGCGGATCGGCAGAGTGGAAAAGGACCCCAGGTTATTGAATAGGAAATAGGAAAGGAATAGAAAAAGGAACCGAGTGGGTGAGCTCGTTAAATTGTTAGGAAGTTGCCAAGCAACAAGGAAAAGGAAAAACCCTAAATAGCCCCCTGTACAAGTTACCCAAATCCAAATCAACCCCTCTCTTTCTCCCTTCTCTATCCCAGAAAAAAGAAAAA